CACTCAGAGTGCCGACCCTTTACGAACCTGTTTTAATAAATGTAGATAATGAATGAAATATTATTAGTCTGATATTTCATAAAACAGTCCACCAGGAGGCGCCAACACAAAAGTCAGAGACTTCACATGAGATTTGGACCATCTTGTGGGGGAAAAGCAGATTACTTCCTACTCGTGAGCGCCCCCTCTGGTGGGGAAACTTTTTTCAGGGATACAAACTTTTTCAGAACACTGGTAGACGGCAGCCATTACAGACGAACATGTGTTTGTTGTTGTTCGAGGAGCGGCTCGGTCACACACTAATGTCAGTAGTTTATCATTACTGAGCTGCAGGACTGATTTTTATCCTTTTTTACACATTATGTCTCCTGCCTGGATCTGTTATTATCTCACTCTGAAGCACAGAGGAGTGTCAGAGGTGAGCTCGTTTCAACCGATTTTTACATCTTGGTCTCATTTCTGGACTCAGGTATTTTGTGAATGAAGCCGATWTTTCAGTTAAAATACATAAGTAAAAATATTTATCTGAGTATAGTACTACCCCCCAACTTTATGGATGATTTTATGGATTTAATTTTACGTATTATAAGGATTATTTGCTTTTACTGAGACTGCAGATGGTTAAAAAAAACTGTTTCTTAATTGGCACACATGGACTCCATGACTAAATGTATAAAAACAGGTTATGGTCCAGGCTCACCACTCTTATCAGCTGCCTGCACCACCTCCATGTATGCAGAGGGGTCATCAGCTTTGATGTAGGAGTCGATAGCTTCTTTAACCAGCTCTTTCTGCAGCTGAGCCTTGGCCAGCTGGCTCCACACGGCCGGTTCATTGCAGCGTTCTGCAAACTCATAGGCCCGGTCCAGGTTACCAATATGCTCAATGAGCACCTGGGAAAATGAAAATAAAAATCAACTTTTCTTCAGTCGATACAGCATTAATATAAGAGTGAAGAGTAAAGACAGACCTGCACAGCTGAGGTGTTGACATCAAACTTCTTGAAGATGGCGAAGGCCTCCTCATACAGCTCACTGCTGATGGCGATGTTTGCGATATCAGGAGCATCATAATTGTCCAGCCTGCTGATGTACTCCATCACACGGGTGTGGTCAGCTTTGATTGCTGTCAGAATCAGCAGGTTCTGCAGATTTCTACGTAGAATGAAGACAGCCAGTGAGCACACCCTTCATGTAATGCCTACGAGTTAAAGTCCATCATGTTTCTACCTGTGTTCACTGAAGACAGAGTTGTCCAACACAATCTTCTCCAGCAGCTCAATCAGCTCATTGGGTAAGTCGGCAGTCATGAAAGCTTTGACGGTGACGGATACCTCCTCTGGATCCTGAGTTTCTGACAGCGCTGTTTGCACCACCTGAAACCAAACGAAGGAAAACAGCTCTAGAGAAGCACACAGTCAAAGTACTGATAAGGATGCAGCTCTACGTTTGAATCATACCTGATCAATGAGCGGGCGCCTGAAGGGATTGCTCTCCAGCAGCACACTGGCCCACAGCTCAGGGTCTTTACGTCTCACTAAGTAACGGGACAAGCTCTTGAAGAGAGAGTTCTCATTGCAAACCTGATGGGATAAAGACACATAATACTTGATATTAGAAATAAAAAAGCTGATTCCATAGCCAGACGTTTCCTTGGATCAGAACTGGAGGAGGAAGCAGAAACAGTTTGCTCACATTAATCAGCTCCTGGTCACACTGTCCTCGCTCATAAGCCACACAGGCCAGATGGGGGTCTCTCTTCTCACAGTACTTTCCCACCACACGGCTGTCATAGAACGGATTTTCACGCAAGAAGCGTTCGGGGTTGTTATTGCTGTCGATGTAGATCTTTGCCAGGGCATTGTGGGTAGCAGGTTCTTCACAACCTTCATGGATACGAGACTCCAGCCAGGGCAGCAACAGCTTCAGCCTGAGACATTAATGAAAGTCAGGACACACACTTTTAAATACAGCTCAGGCAGATGGTCACTGTAGTCCCTTAATATGCCTACCTCTACTCAGAATAAAAACTAAATGCTTCTTAAATGACAGAAATCACCCGCTTCAGATGTTATCATCCATGAAATGGACATTATTAGGCATTATCAGTCCCATAGAATGGCTCCAGAATGTCCCACCTGTGCTGGTTAGCAGGTTCCCCGTCCGATAGAATGGTTTCTGATTGTCAGCTGGTTAGTATGAGACAAAACCACTATCTGGTTAATATGAGACATAAAACCACTATCTGGTTAATATGAGACATAAAACCACTATCTGGTTAATATGAGGCATAAAACCACTATCTGGTTAATATGAGGCATAAAACCACTATCTGGTTAATATGAGACATAAAACCACTATCTGGTTAATATGAGACATAAAACCACTATCTGGTTAATATGAGACATAAAACCACTATCTGGTTAATATGAGGCATAAAAACTGGTTAATATGAGGCTTAAAGCCACCAAAGTTAACTTTAGAGCAAATGACATGGTTAGCGCTAAAGACCCCACCCTCCAGTGTTTGTACATTGTGGCTTGCCAATAGGGCAATGGGTAGAGTATCAGACCAAAGAGCATGAGACCAGGGTTCGAGACTGACACAAAAAATTTATTATAACTCTTTTAAAATATCTTTTGGTAATTTACACATTCATTGTCATTGATATATTAACCCACTAGGGGGCACTGTTGGGACAGTCTGAAGCCTAGAAGGCACAGTAGGGACCCTCTGAAGCCATTGTATGGGACTGATAACGCCTAATAACGTCCATTTAATGGACTAATAACATCAGAATCCCCTGCAGAAATTGACAATTGCAGAGAAATGACAAGTATCAGATATTCAATCTAACTAGTAAACATCAACCATTCAATTACAGTTGCCCACTGTTCTTTATTAGATCATATCAGTAAAAATGTATTTTTCGTGGCAGTATTGTGGCAAAATTAAAGGGAGTACAGCACCTGTTCCTCTTTTCCACCTCAGCAACAAGTTCATCAGTAGAGAACTGCCCTCTGACCACTAAGATCAGACTCTTGATGACATCTTCAGAGCAGTCCACATCCAGGAGACCACCCACTACCACAGGCAGACGGCTAGGGTTCACCTAAAATAAAAACTTATGTTCTCATCTGGACAGAAAGTATGTAGTTGCTGTACTACTGCAAATGTCTGCATTCATTTTTACCTTCTGAACATAAATCTCTATATACTTCTGCAGGTTGTTACGGTACAGGTAAAGCACCAGGTCATGGACGAAATCAAAGCGATCACAAACAATGATGAGGGGCAGCTGGTCGGTGAGTTTGGCTTCCTGTTGGTCACAAACAGAGGAGGTGGAGGAAGTGTCAGACATCATAAGCAGGAAGAAGCTGTGAAGAAATCTACTATTTATAACCTGATCTAACAAATAGACCTTTAACTACTATAAAACTATTTACTTTTTAATCAAAATATAAAATACAGACAGTAAACTATAAYATTAAATCCTGCTGTACCTCAGTAATGCAGGTAGAAAAATCAAAAATAAAAAGTAAGTAGATCCTCTGAACAGAGGACCTAGACCATTATGGGGCAGCAGTGACCACCACACTGGTTGTAATGGTGCTGTGACACACTGCTGTCACCCACAGGACCAACAAACTGAGCACCGAGTCACTAATACTAAGGAACACGCTGCACCCACTACAACCTGTTATCACACACAGGCACAGACTACACAAGGACAGCTTGATAACTACGTTAGACACCTGCAACTACACAAACATTAAATGAATGTCTAACACTATACAAAACTCATGTAGAACTGGCTGTGGTGTATAAACATACAAATCACAGTTACAATCCTGTGTTGTTCAATAAAGGACACAAGGAAAGGGGGGGAAATGTGATCCTGTTCTGTGTGGAAGGACAAATTTACCTGATACAAGTCCTGTCATCCCAAAAAGGAAAAGCACAAATATTTTACTGCCATCAGGATCGCTGCTTGAACATTTGTATTAGTAGAAACAAAACTACTGATCTATTATTACGACAGATAAAATGTAATGTACAAAGTGCTTAACCTAATCCAAAACATGTGATTCTGTGGAAAGCTTATGAACAGTTTAATTTTACATCAGTTATTTACTTAGGATTTAATAATGATTTGCAGCATCAGATGTTTGTAAATCTTCCAGAATTTCAAAATAATTCTTTCAGAATATCTCTGTAATATAAACGTGACAATGGTGAAACAGTGCTTGCATGAAGTGAACATTTCTTCTGTTTTTAAGGCAGCATCAACCCACTTTATTCATGCTAATGTTTGACCCAGCACTAACTTATCAATCCAACAGCAGAGAAAATCTTCTTCAACTTTCCACAGAACCAAATGTTATCAGATCTGAACTACTGCTGCAGGAAGTGTGCAGAAAAACAGGAAGCAGAATTGAACAGATTGAAAAAATAAAAAATAAATAACAAGCAGCACACCAATTAAAGAAAATTATTTTGTGTTTTGAGTGCCAGGAGAGAAAAAGAAAACATGYGCATGGTTTTACTTTGAGGAAGTTCTTGACTCGCTCAGGGTCGTAGCAGTTGCTCTCTCTACAGATCCTCTCCACTTCTTTGATCTGGCCTGTCTTGCAGGCAGCCTGGATGTATTTGAAGTGAACTTCTGGATCCTGACTGAAGTTCACAATAGAGCCCAGGAAGTAGAACAGACCTGAGGAACAAAGTATGCACATCTCTCATCATTAAAAACACAACAAATCTAACTAGACGTGGGTTTTTATGATGTAAAAACAACTGTGCATTGCCATGTAGCATGTCATTGCAGCATGGCTTTACCTGCAGCATTGGACTTGCAGAATGAACTTTGACCAAGTTCAAATGTGTTTTCTATACCAGCTTGTGCCTGTCACGTCAGCAGGTGTTTGTAATTAAGGTAATTGTGTGACAATATGAAGTTTGAAGAGATTTTCTGTTAAAGTTGCTGCTGCTGGATTTCAAACTGTAATCTCCCACATGAAAGCCCATGGCACTAACCATGAGACCATCGGAGCTGTGGTAGTGGACGAGGCCAGGGGTTGGTTTGTGTGTGTGCAGAAAGTGGCTACATTGCCAATGTAATGGTTGTCACTAATTTGAAAAATATTACAACACTAAAGCAATATTAGGACAATATTTTAGTAAAACATCAAAACACAATCATATTAGTATTGTAAAAACTGAACTATTGAGATTAAATATTATTAAACTGTGGTGCAGTTCTGAGTAGATACAGCAGGGGGCAGTATTGGACCAATACAAGGCTCCATTGACTCCCATTATAAATTATTAAACGCTAATATTTCAAAAACTATAAGTTGTACAGGCACCAAAAGGCATAGCCATCATTTGGCACAGGAGCTTTACAGATATAAATTACAATGGCAGCTCTAGGACAAAGTATGCAGGAGGAGAAGCATGCCAAAGTGGAGATGACTTGGATGGGAAACGAATCACATGCAATGCACACTGATGAGGATGAATCCAGAAATACAGCCTAAAAAGTTTTAGTTGATCCTAAAATCCTGGTTTATTCCAAAATCTTTCTCCCCAGGAAAAGAACAGCATTTGCTCCCGTCTAGGTCGTTCCCATCAAAACATTGATTGTCCAGCCTCTTCTGTAGCCTTAATGTCTAATCAGTTAGTTGGATTACATCTATTTATGTACGAGGACAGGAGGGAGTACCAGCAGATATGAAGTCATACACTTACCTTAATGTATGAAAGAACAGGTAAATGTAGTGAGCTCCCAAAATAAGAGGAATAATTACCCTCAGCTTTTAAACACTGAGGGTAAATACTGCTTGTAAGTAGAAGTGTAGGAAAATATTGATACACTGAAATAAATGACCCAAACCAAATTATCGTTATCCTCTTAATGTCGAAAAACAGTTTCACAACTGCAGTGTTTYCATTAAGTAAKAAATGTTMTTAAAGTCACGTGAATACGTTTGTTCTCATGATAAGTCATTACAAACATGGCAGCGATGGATGTAAACACATAGCATGTTGCTACCACGACACTAGCGCTCATCATCAGAGGAGACGTCGGCGTCTTTTATCGAGGCTTTCCAGAGA